GCCTTGCTTATACTCTGAGGTTGTCTCTGGTTTTGAACCTCTGGGTCTGGATAGGTGGCCATGGTGAGAAATGTGTTTCCATGGTACCTGGACTGCCAACATCAGGGTGGGGCCAGGCCCAGTGTGGCCCCCATCTAACATCTCTGGCTCTGTCCTGCCTCCTGGCTATCTAGCGCCTCTCTGTCCTGTATGTGTTCTCAACTCTAGGGCTCAGGACCCAGGATGACTTTGGGGTAGGGAAGGAGCATTGAGGAGACTGGTATTTCAGTCAGGCTTTAGTAAGAACAAAACCAAATTTCCCTCAGCAATTCAAATGTAATTGTTAACAGATGAGTAAATTAGGTAAATGTAAACATGTACACATTTATAAATGAACTCTTCATAGTTACAAAATCTTTGGTAACTTGAAAGTAAACTTAAGTTCTGAGTCATTTCTCAAATTGAAGCACTAAAACATCTATTGTTAAGCATATATTTAAAATTAGGTGAGCATAATGGATCACACCTATAATCCCAGCACTCAGGAGGCTGAGGTAGGTAGGAGGATTAGAAGTTTAAGGCCAGTATTACTCTTAAACACCCTTGTACATGGTAGGGTTTCAAGGAGACAGGCATTGAGGAAACGACACAAATGCTCAGGACTCAGAGTTCAGTACTATACTGCAAATGCTTGATTCATTTTTCCCATAATGCCACTCAACTTCTGCTCAAAGACATCCTGCCTTTCAGCAAACCTAAAAATTTTCATTTTAGCATTTAAATTAAGCACATTAACTTTTACCTTGCTTTTATGGGCACCATTTGCTTTTGGGGAGGCCTATTTTTTACAAAATTAAGAGCAGGAAACACTCAGCAGACCACACAATTTAAACACAACTGACAACAACACAGGACTGAGTGAGAGCTTCGCTGCATCAACTGAGCTGTATAATGCACGTGTGGGAATTGATAACTTTTTACTTTTGAAATTTTCCTTTTAGTTTATTATTATTTTTGCCTTGCACTTGGTCAAAACCTCAACTAATAAACCCATGAGTAAGGCAGGTTTACTGTATAGTGAGACCCTGTCTCAAGAAAAGAAAAAGAAAACAGATCTGCCATATGATCCAGCAATCCAACTCCTAGGGATATACCCGAAGGAACGCAACACAGGTTACTCCAAAGGCACCTGCACACCCATGTTTACTGCAGCACTATTCACAATAGCCAGGTTATGGAAACAGCCAAGAATGGATCAAGAAAATGCGGTATTTATACACAATGGAATTTTACTCAGACATGAAGAATCAAATCTTACCATCGCAAGTAAATGGATGGAACTGGAGAACATCATCCTGAGCAAGGTTAGCCAGGCTCAGAAGACCAAAAATCCTAAGTTCTCCCTCATATGCGGACTTTAGATCTAAGGCAAATACAGCAATGTTGTTGGACTTGGGTCACATGACAAGGGGAGAACACATACGGGAGGTATGGGGATAGGTAGAAAACCCAAAACATGAAAGTGTTTGATGTCCCCACTCCAGAGGAACTAATATAGAATCCTTAAAGCAACAGAGGTCAACATGAGATGGGGATCAGGAACCAGGGTAAAGATCAGTTAAGAGATGAATCAACTTGGGTTGTAACACATTTGTACATGGAAGCAATGCTAGGAATCTCTCTGTATAGCTATCCTTAACTAGCAAAAAAGCTTTGTCTTTCTTATTACACTTATGTTGTCTCTTCAACAAAATTAGAGACAAGGGCAGAACAGGTTCCACCTGGAAGCGGGGGGGACGGGGGGGGGGACGGGAGAGGGTGGGGGCAGGGGGAGAAATGACCCAAACAATGTATGCACATGTGAATAAATGAATTTAAAAAAAAAAAGAAAAAAAATCTTTTACCACTTTAGTTTTATTTCATAATGATCTGTGATCCTATGTTTTAAGCCTTTTGGTATTTCTGACAAAATTCCCCAAGTCAAACTTTAAAATTAAAAAATAGTATCTTTTTTTCAAAAAATAGCTGCCTTTGAGTTGTATGGATTTGTTAATATGTGCTCTAAAAATTTGTATAAGATTTCAAGAAATCTAATATACCTCAGTATCATAATTATTCATGATTCCAGTTATGATGTTAAATTACTATATTCCATAGAGATAACAAACTGATCAGATCATTAACCACAGGTCATGTCCACAGTTAAACTGCTTCATTCTGATCCCTTTTGGAAGCAATTATAATCCTAAAGTGTTGTATCTTTGTCAAAGAGGTTTTGAAATGGCTGACCAAGATCAAAGAATAAGAATGAACTGATTTAAGAAAAAAATTACAGATTTTTGCAGCTTTTTAGTTAAAATATTGCTTTTTATGTCATGTTTCCCAGATTTAAGGAAACTTTTTCTTTTAAGCTACCTACAGTTTACAACAATTTTGTAAAATATATTCTTATAAACAAAATTTGTAGCATTCCTTTTTTCTTTCTATCCTATCCCTTCAGAATTTGCAAATATTTGTGAATATTATTTTTATGGCAATATGGCAATTTACATAAGTTCAATAAAACTCTTATTACTGTAACATGATACAATTGGAAATACTGGCTTTGATTGGGATGCTGTATTTAAGGATATGCATAGAATGCCTGGCTTCAAAGATGCTCAGCCTGACAAATGAATAAAACTTACTTCCTGAGAGGCCCAGAAACCTCTAGATAATTAAGTATTTCAGGTAAAGCCTGACGTTTGCCTTGGTTTGGCTTCCTAGCCTCCAGGTGTTTAATAAAATATCCAATCTGAGGTTTCTTGACAAATTTCCAAATTTATAAAGAGCCTATATGGTTACTCTGGCTATACTTATACAAATAGATCTTGCAGACAAACTGGTCTTAATGTGATTATTATGTCTTTTGTTAGGACTGGGGCTTGAACTCAGGGCTTCACACTTGCAAAGCAGGTGCTGTACTACTTGAGCCATGCCTCCAGTCCACTTTGGAGATGGGGGTCTCCTGAACTATTTGCCCAGGCTGGCCTCAACCCAGGATCCTCCCTATCTCAGCTTCCCAAGTAGCTATGATTACAAGGATGAGCCACCAGTGCCCAGCAATGTGATTACCTTTGATAAAAATGGGATGTACTAGAAAAATATAGTATACTTATTATCACATTATAGCTTTGTTCAGAGTTTTTGAGGTTTTTATATTAGTTACAGCCTAGACCGTATTTTGTATTCTTGCAGTTTTCTCGAATATTGGGTTACAATTCTCCAACTAAAAACTGCTCAGTTCTTGAAGCCCTAAAAATTTATATTGGGTAACTCAGTATAAATTTCAAGGGATGAATCCCATGCCTAATGTGTGGACCACTTTGAGTAAGCAGAACTTCAGGGTGAACTGAAAACTGGGTAAAGTTCCCCCCAAGCTGAAGCTCATGTGGAATCCAGGTACCTAGTGGGCCATACAGTTTTCCAAAAAGCCTGCTGCCAGCCACGTTGTAGTGGCGCACCATCTGTAATGCTAGTACTCAGGAGGCTGAGGCAGGAGAACCCCAACTTCAAGGACAGCCTGGGCTACAGAGAGAGAGAGAGAGACTCTGTTTCAAAAACCAAAAAAGCCTGATGCCATAACCAGAGATACTCAAACTACAAATCAGGACAAGATGATTTCACACTGTTGGGCAACATTTTCCAAGACTGTTGGAACATAATTCATTAGACTCAGTTCTCTTAATTTTTCCTTGTTTGCCTCTCTCACTTGGTGAAATTCTAATTACAGCATCATCCTGCCATCTTCCGTGAGTGACCTGACTGTAAAATTCATGCCCTCTAATTTAACCCCGCCCCCTCCCTTCATGCTGAGGATCAAAACCATGGTCTTTGTGCTATGTAGGTGCTGTACCAATAAGCTACACACTCAGCCCTAACCTATTCCTGCAATGCTAAATGATAGCATTGCTACCTACTAATCGAATAGGGAAGAATTTGTGCAGTTACTAGCACGTCTTACTCCACAGATACTTTAGATACTGTAAAAACTCAAGTCCAAAAATTAACAAACAGACTACTTGGTTAAAACAGGTAGATTCCTAATCTGTCTCTGATCTGTTCAATTTTAGTTGGATTGGTTCATGGGCAGACTGGCTAAAGAGCATATTCCAAATTCTTGGTATTTTCCTTCCAGTTACCATCCTGTTGCACATCAAATGATCTCTCTTTGGCTGGAGTGACAGAAACTCAAAGAAATGCACATTCATGAATCTCCAGTAATCTATGCCAATGTGTTGTGATCAGAAACCCAAAATGACTGACCAAGATTAGCACAAATGCCCTAAATTTTGACCTTTATTTTTGCTCTTTTCAGATATAACCAACCTCTTCTCTGACCACGGAAGTAGTTTATGGAATGAAATGTTTCCCAATTCTAGAATAAAAATAAAGCAGATTAAGATGGTTGGCAAAAAGAAAGAGAACAGTGGGTGGGTGGGTAGCAACTGGTGAGAAATGACATAAAGGAGAAGCTGGAGATCGGGAGGCTGGTGAGAGGACAAAGTCCAAGTGGAAAAACAGGGTGTCCTAAGGCAGCATAGACAAGGAAAAGGAAGTAGCAGATTCTAGATTTTAGAGCTGGAGAAGGCCAGACTGAGTGAGAAGCTGAGGAAAGAGATGAGGCCATGATCTACTGCTGAGTGGCAAGTGAGTTACAACTGCTTGGCCCCCCCCCCCCCCCCCCCCCCCCCCCCCCCCCCCCCCCCCCCCCCCCCCCCCTCCCCCCCCCCCGCCCCCCCCCCCCCCCCCCCCCCCCCCCCCCCCCCCCCCCCCCCCCCCCCCCCCCCCCCCCACCCCCCCCCCCCCCCCCCCCCCCCCCCCCCCCCCCCCCCCCCCCCCCCCCCCCCCCCCCCCCCCCCCCCCCCCCCACCCCCTCCCCCCCCCCCCCCCCCTGTTGTTTTTGCTTTGGCAGCACATATACTAAAATTGGAACGATACAGAGAAGATTAGCATGGCCTCTGAGCAAGGATGACACACAAATTTGTAAAGTGTTCCATATTTTTTAAATAAAGTATAATTCATAGTAAAAAACAAACAACAAAAAACAATTGCTTAGCCCTTCAGTCAGCAAGGAGTGCTTGTGGGAGATAGCACATCTAACCCTCTCCTGCAGCCCTGTTGGCTGTTTTAATTACCATTTTGGCTGAGGAAACTAAGACATAGATGGATCAGTATTAGACAATGTTCCCTAGGAGGGAGAAGTGAATGAGGTGAGAACAGAAGGGTTTGGCAGACCAGCTTTCTGGTAGATGAAGGACCAGAATGCCATCATGAGAAAACATACCATCCCATCTCAGAGCAGGTTTGGATCCAATCTCTTTATTTTCAGGGGTCCCTCCCTGTACCACCCCCCTCCAAACCTATAGAAAAACCCCAAGGCTGGGAACTGTCCTGGGGAAGGGAGGCAGAGTGTGGGAAAGCCCTGTGCTCTGCCCTCTGGTCTGGGCAGTGCAGATAGGGAGGGTCCATAGGGAAGGGGTAGGCTGGTAACTCCACCTGAAGAGGACGTGGCACTGGCTGGGATACATGGGGGAGAAGTGCCTGCTGCCAACTTTCCTCTGGTACCCACTACGGATTGGCACCCATGGGTGGGTGCCTGGCTTGAGACCTGGGACAGTGATGCCCTTCTCCTGCTGGTGGCCATTGCTTCTGTCAGGCTGAAGGGGAAAAAAAAAAGAGAGAGAGACAAAGAGAGACTGAGATTGAGAGAAAGGAACCCTAATACTCTTGATCACAGGGGTAGGGAAGAAGAAAGGGTGGAATGATGTCTGAGGACAGAGATGTGCTTGCACTCTGGCTCTGGCCTCATAATTTTCTGATCATGTAACCATGGGCAAGTCTCCATTTCCTCACCTGGGCCCCTATTCCTAACCTGTGAACTAAGTTCACAAGATAAAAACTTAGCTTCCCAGGTAAAATAAGTCTTTCCAAGAGGAAAGACTGCACATGAGTGATTTTCTATACTGAAGTGTAGAGCATCTTACAGAATGTGTCATATACCAAGACAGCTCCCTGCGATCACTGGTGTTTGAGACCTTCTCTCATCTAATCCTCTTACTCTGAATATGGTCCTAAGGGAAAAGGTTAGGCAGAACAGGATGGTGAGCAGTAGCCAGAAAGAAGGCTTGGAGGCCACACATCACTGGGTTCAAATCTAAGCTCCACCAACTACTACCATGGGATCTTGTAAGATGTATGCTCTCAGTGCACTCTTCATTACCGTTTCCACATCTGTTGCACTGGCACAATTCTAACCTTGCAGGGTTGAACATGAAATCAGATAAATCAGGTACAATTCCTGTCACCAGGGCATTTCCTCCCCACAGCATGATTGCATCCAAGCCCCTAAGCCCAGCACTTTACGATCCTCTGATGAGCAGTGTCTTCCCCATACTCTGCAGAGCTGGACCACAACACAGTGATGTCAGGCATCATGGCTGTTATCAGAAAAAGTAGTACCAATGTACCCCTAACAAAGGCTACTCTACCATGTCTGCTTCAGGGAAGAGGCACACCCTCCACTTTACTGCTTTCCTCCCTGTGCCCCCCAGGAGCCCCGTACCTGCTTACTGCAAGGCCCCATCCTCTGCATCTGTGTCCTGGCTGTGCTCCTGAGAGAGAAGGCAAGCAAAAACCACACATCACTCACTGCAAGCTCTGAGGTCTGCCCTGAGTCATCTGTTTAGAAAGGTCCTGGGGACTTGAGTATGGAGGACATAGCAGAAAGGAGAAGGGACAGCTAAAGGGCATGATTATGGAACCAGTCAATAAGGCCGACTGAGGATCCTGAGAGAGTGGTTTGAGGGCCCCAGAGGAAAGAGAAGGGACCAGTGAAGGGAAGTGTAAGAGTGGCAGGGGGCACACTTCTGTACACAGAAAGACCTTGAACTGGAGTAGATTGAAAGCCTTGTAGACTGACAGGCTTGCCCTCTTTTGGGTATCTAAGAGAATAAGATGAAATACCAGGCTAGGTTCAGAGAGACAAGCTGGGCATGAAGAGGATCTCCTGACTGTCATAGCCATAAGGCTATCTGTCTCGTGCTGGAGCCCAGCAGTGATTAAAAAAGGAGGAGCTCCAGACCTGGTGAAGAAGCTTGAGCTTCAAGCCAAGCTTGGCCTTTATTAGTTATAAGGCCTTGACTAAGCAAGCTACCTGACACCTCTGAGCCTCAGTTTTCTCAGAGTAAAATGTGGCTGCTGTTGTACATAATGCATGGCTGCTGTATAAATTAATCAAGTTAGAAAGTATGGACTACAGGGTATGATACTCAATGAGTATTCATTAAGTGAGTGAACAACAAGTATGTAACAGGTTCTTATGACTCAGTGTCTTGTCCACCTTCCCAATATAAACTCCCTGTCAAATGGCTCCCCAGACTCAACCTGAATACTTTCAGTATAGGTAAGGGCTCACTCCCTTTTGAGAGCCTGTTTCAACCTTGAGCAGCAATGGCTTACAAAATCCTCATGTGGAATTGATACCTGCCTCCCTATGGCTTCCCCAAGCTACCCAATCCTTTTGGAACTCAGCAGGCTATGTGTGCTTCCCTTGAGCCCAAGTCTCCTCTTCTCCAATCCACATGGAGAATGGAGGCCAAATGTGCTCTAGGCTTCACCAAGTTCTTCCCCAGACCTCAGTGGGACTTCTGACTGACAGCTAAAACAAGCAACTACCTGCTGTTCTTTCTTCCCTGTTCCCTAGAGTACTAGAGTCTCTAAGGCGAAAAGCAGCCTGTGGGGGGAAGAGGGAGATGCAGCTCAGAGGTTCCCCTCTCCCTGTGGTATTCCTGACACCAAGAGTGCAAAGTCCAGTCCTGGCCTCTTCCAGTCATGCCCTGGCCAGACCCTCACCTGTTCTTCCTCGCTATGTGTCAGCAGTCCCTCTTCATCACCGTCATCTCGAGTTTGGGCTTCTCCCTGGGGTGTGCCTGCCTCAGAAACCGTGTCCTCTTGCGGGGCTGGTGGCCGGCTGCTGCTGCCACTATTACCACTGCCACCACCACTGCCGCTGCTGTTGTCGCTCTTCTTTTTGCCATCTTGAGGGGTAGGGGTAGAGGAAGAGGAACTAAAATTCAGCCTGGAGCAACTGCCTAGTACCTTAGCAGAAGCTGGCCTTAGCACAGTGGGTCCAGGTGGACTGGGATCTTCACAGCTCTAGGGGACCCCCACCACCCCTGACTCCCAGAGTACACTGTCTTTCCCATGCTCTTCCCTCAAAGGCTGACCTGGGTTGGCCTTTTGCTCCTCAGCGATCTGCTCCAAGCGGCCCAACAAAGCATCGATGTTGGACTTGATCTGTGTCAGCTCTGTCTTGATGGTCTGCAGCTCACTGCTCTTTACTAAGAGTGAAGAGGGGACAGGGCTGTCACCTAGGAGCATGACCCTAACAAAACTCCATCCCATGGTATCAACCAAGAAGGCAGTTCTCCTGGCCAGGGAAAAAGTCTCTTCTTGAAACTGACTGCAGATCATCCCCAGAGCAACCAGTCCATATTTCTGAACCTGGCTCTTTTACCTGGACTGCTCAAACCAAAAGGAATTGGAGGTAAACAGGAATGCAGGTCTATGACATGCTCATGTGTATACCTAAACAAGAACATATGGGTCTTACTGTGCGCAGTCTGTCTTTGAAGATACAAAGGGAGGATCTTTTGCAATCAAATTTCCTACATGTATGACTGGAGTGTATGGATTGGAATGAATGTGGAGTAAAGGGACTACGTAGAGAGACCTGTCCTTATCCTTACTAGTAGAAAAATAATGCCATCTCCTCACTGGGTGTCATGTCTAGATTCTCTGTGCCAACCCAAACCCCTTCTCCTCAAATGTGAGCCCTTCCCTCTTAGCAATGCATGCAAATACTCACTTGTTTTTATTAAGAGCAGTAGAACTACAGGAGATTTGTTCCTTTATTTTCCAGTGTAAAAAAAAAAGTGATTCTATTATTTTGCTGTTGATAAAACAAAAATCATCTAGGAAAATATAGTCACTCACATTTGATCTTGGCAGAGCCAGTGGTGATGGCTGTGGAGCGGGAAAAGAGTTTAACAGGTATGGTAGTCTTGACACGACGAACCAAAGGTACTGTGACCCGGGGTCGCTTCACGGGAACTGCTCTGGGCACTGGCACCGGTGACAGGCGGCCACGGTAGTCGAAGAGCCTGTGAGGGCAAACAGGCCAGAGGCTGCAGCATGGCCTGTGGCCACCAGAGGGCACTGCACCTTGTGTGTATGGGGAGGGGGGGTTGCCCCCATCTGTCCCCCTCTGGCCAGTGTCTGAGAGGTCCGTGCTACATACCTCTGCCTGTCCCCAAGAAGAGCTTTCTGGACCCTGATAGCAGCTATTTTGCCAGCCAGGCCAGGAGAGGCAGCAGGTGGCAGTGGTCATACCCCACTCAACACAGGAATGAATAGACTAGTCCCAAAAAGGAGCCTTCCCTACATCACACTGCCACCAGGCTTTCCTTATCACCTGAGCTGGTTTCTGCTCAGTCAATTGCCAACCCAAACTATGGTCAGTTTATAAATCAAACCAGCACAATTCCCAGCTAGGAACAAACAGGTATGGGAGTAGGCAGGGGTAATCCCTGAGCCTTCCTGAGCCTCAGTTTTCCCATCTACTTAATGAGCATGGCTATCCAAATTCAGTGTCTATCCAAGTCTGCACGAAGAACCTGAAACACACTTTAGAAGGTGTGACAAGTGAAAGGCCAGGGTACTGAGACCTCAACTCAGGAACCCATGGGCTCACAGACATGAGCTTGGACTCCAAGCCTTTTTTCCTTCTGGGCCTCCTTAACACCTTTCTTGTTCAACTTCAGATGAAGGTCAGGGGCTCAGAAGTTTATCAAGATTGGGGAGCTCAATCAGATTCCAGAGCTGTGCTCAACACCATCACCTGGCCCTCTCCAGTAAGGCTTCTTTTCCTTCTGACAGGGCAGATACTCAGTAGGCTGAGCAAGAATAGGGCTCTCTCTCACCATGTCTGCTGCTACTGCTGTTCTGTAGGAAACTGCAGCCTTTGTCAGGGGTACACTTTGGTACTACTTTTCCTGATAACAGTCATGATGCCTGACATCACTAGGCAATTTGATGCCCCATTCTTTTTTTTTTTTTTTTTTTGTGGTACTGGGGTTTGAACTCAAGAGCCTACACCTTGAGCCACTCCAGCAGCCCTTTTTTCTGTGAAGGGTTTCTTCAAGATAAGAGTCCCACGAAATATTTGCCTGGACTGCTTCGAACTGCAATTCTTCTGATCTCTGCCTCCTGAGTAGCTAGGATTATAGCTGTCACTGGCACCTGGCTTGATGCCCTATTCTTTAGTACTCCTTTGTTCAAGGAGTTTCTGCTCAGGAGGTGATGCAAATACTCTGGGAATAGACCCAATCCTGGACCCTTCATTTCTACGCCCAAGGGGAGGGGGCGGCTCTGGCCTTGGTCAGAATCACTGAACCACAGAATCCCAGAGCTAGAGGAGCCCTGAGAGATTACTTGGTGAACGCCCATTTCACAGAAATGGGAAGGGGATTTGCCTGAAGTCACATAATCCATTCAGTGGCACAGCTGGGATTAGTACTTAAGTCTTCTGACTCCCAGGCTAGGGCACTTTATCACAATGTCTCCTGAAACCATTCACAGGGGAGAAAACTGGGACTCAAAAGAGGTTTTGTTTTTCCTGGGCTACCTGTGATGGGTAAACTGGAGGGAGGGAAGCAGGGAGAAGAAATATGGGCCATTCTTCACCATGACTTGTAGTCAGGGCAGTTGGAATAGGAGCCCAAGGCTTCAAGGTTGGAATCTGGGTAGGCGTGGGACAGAGTGTAGGCCACAACCACCGGGTTGTGACCCACAAACTAATCAGATCTCCAAATGGCTGGTGACCTTTGGCTAATAAATAAGGCCGAGAAGCTCAGACTGAGCTCTGGGCTTCTTTCTGACTGGTTAGGTACTTCACAGAGAAAGGAGACTGAAAAGCAGGAGTATGAGGGCTCTAGCTCCCTGCAACTGGCACTGTATTCTTTTGTATTACAATTGGCTAAGTTTATATAAAGTTCCTTGGCTATACAGACCCCTGAAGTCTCAGCATAGGACTCAGAGGAAGAAAGGCAGTCAGAGAATGACACAGTGGGATGTGATGGTGGGAGCTTTGGCCTGGGTACCTGCAGAATGGAACCAAAATGCCAGCTTTGCCACTGACTTGTGGAGCAACCTTGGGCAAATGTCTGTCCATACTTCTGGGTTTTGTTTCCTAACTGGAGAACTGAATAGGCTGTACCAGCAATCTCTCAAGACCCTTCCAGTTTGGCTGTATCATGCCTGGGCACGCCCCTCCCCTGCTCACCTGTGGTAGAAGTAGTGCCGGTAGTAATCATAGTCAAAGCTGTAGCCACTGGGGAAACAAAGGGGAGAGGCCCGGAGCTTAGGGATGGCCACTCAACCCACTCTCCACAGGCCCTCATCTCCAAATGCCTCCCCAAGTCCTAGGCTCAGTACACTGTCACTACCAGCTTTTACTCCCTCTATGGAAAGAGGGACCCATCTCACTCAGACAGACAGACAGAGTGCCCCACCTGTATATGGCAGATGCTGCTCTCTTTATTCCTTTGGGTCTGTTGGGCTTGGGTTCGCCAGCCATGTTGATGTCTGTGTAGAGGGAGGAGGCAGAATTGGAATGCTGGTTTGACAGCAGTGTACCCATCACCGTCATGCACTCACACAATAAGTCATGTGCTTACATTTACACATGGCACTGAGGTGGCCAATAAAGCAAGGTCTTCATACATTTAGTCTCCAAACATTATACACATAATCAGATATCACATGGATATGCCTGCTTACACATTCAGACACACACATGCTCACAAACAAATCACCCACATACATACCATGTACATCATATACATATGGATTCTCAACTATGTTCGCATGAACACATACATCAGGTAAAAAGAAACACATATATACCCTCACATACATGTATCCAAGTAAGAAAGTCTCACACACAGATAACATCTGCACTGAAGACATCCCAGACTTCATACAGATAACAGGCCTATAGGCAAATAAGCCAATGTACATTCTACTAAACATGATAAAATCTCAATAAATATTTGATAAATGAGTTATGTGCCTATCTGTTTACATGCTCAAGTATATTCTAATACACACACAATACGTATACAAAAATAGGTATCCACATGTTCAGTGACATCTACTCACAAGTACATACATATAAATACATATACAGAAATATACCTTCTCAAACACACACACAAACACACACACATACACACAGACATATGTACACAAACATTTTACTTCCAATGTGCACCAACATGGTCATAGCACATGTATGTACCAGAGAAGCCAAGGGTACCTCCCCTGCTTGTCTTTGTGTTCCCAGTCCCTCTTCCTGGCTCTCAGAAAGGGTTCTAACTTGAGTCATCTATAGACCAAAGTTATAATAGTCCACTCCATTCCTTTTTTCCTAAGGATTCTGCATTTTAACTGGACTCATAAAGCTTGTTATTAAGAAGTATTGAGAAAGAAGGGAAAAGACAAAGAACTGTTTTCCAGGGCTTCTATAATCTTCCCTACTTACTTTATAACTTAAATATAACTTGTGTGAGCCTAAGATGAAAACTAGAGAGTAAAGGACAGCAGCTACTCTAGAGGATACTAGCCGTGCCCTGTGGAGAGAGGTTTAACTTACCCAGGGTCTGTCCAGCCAGCACCCGCCCATTCTCTCCCAGCACAGCTGCTCGGGCATGGCGCTCATTGGCATACTGGACAAAGGCATAGCCCTTGTGCACAGAACAGCCAGCCACACGCCCATACTTGGAAAAGATAGTCTCCACATCTGACTTCTTCACCACAGCTGTATTGAGGTTTCCAATGAAGACCCGAGAGTTGATGGACTTGGGGTCATTTTTGTTGGTTACATTGCTTGTCTGGATCTTCAAGGACATGGTGTCCACCTGAAGAGAGAGAGCCACTGTGAGGCTGGGTCCCCAGGTTAGGCTTAAGGTCTCTATCCTGACTAAACTAAACTGTTCCTTGCCTTTCTACACACTCCCAGTCATATAGCATCCAGTTTCCCTGTTTCTGCATTTGTTTTCTGATTATATTACCAAGAATTGCCACTTACTGGCTGCTAATTTCATGTCGGGTGCTTCCCATGTGTTCCCTCATTTGGTACTCACACAGGACAGCCAGGACATTGTACATGAGAAGAACCTGACATTCAGAGGTCACAACGCTACTGAATGGTAAGGCTGAGATTGACTAATCTGCTTGACTCCTATTCTTTTAAGCCCATACCTCTTTTTTTTTTTGTTTGTTGGTACTGGAGTTTGAACTCAGGGCCTCATGCTCGCTAGGTAGGCACTCTACCACTTGAGCCACTCCACCAGCCCCCATACCTTCTTTAATACTCATCTCAAATGTTATCCCATTTAGAATCTAAATTTGAGTATCTGTAGCCTTTCTTTTGTTCTTTCAACGTAGGACCATAGCAAAAGGGTCACATGATAATTATAAGTAATGTTTGCTCTAGAACAATACCGTATTATTGAAATTGCTCTGTCTGGTCTGGACAAGGAATAAAGACTGCCTTTATAGGTACCATCTATTTTGAAAAAAGTATGCTTAAATAAGCCCCACTCACTGTGGGGTACAGGTGACATACAATATTGAATAATTCTCAAGACCTGAGTGAATATATTTTACCAGAAACTGAGACTCTGGTAAAATCATTAACTTGCAATAACACACATTCAAACCCAGGTCAGTTGGTCCCTTAAGCCCACTTCTGTCAACTTCATCACTTTGCTTCCCAGAGCAAAAGTTAATTTAAATAACACAGTAAGATGAAATATTTATTTGAGAATTCTCCATAATAAATTAATTTCTTAATTATCCACTTGTATACTTACTCATTCAAATTTTGTTCTGTTTGGCTTAGAGATAGGTTTGCAATTACTCTTTGTTCTCTACACTCTGGTAATATCTTTTATCCCAAAAGGCTCCCCTCCCCCAGAGAAGTTCCACTTGGGGATAGGCTCCAGGGAGAAGGGGAAAAGCAGGTTCAAATTCAGTAGGAAAGGCCTACAGTTAAGCCTTGACATTTGTACATCCTGGCCCTGTCTTCTACTTATCCTCATAGAATGATACAACTACAATCCCAGTCTCCTAGGGCTGTTTCAGAAGGTGCTGAAGTTCCTAAGCAACATGTATAAAAACTTCCACCAGCCAAGTAGCCTGTTTACCTAGTATTTGGGGGCAAAGAGGGCTTCTTTTCAGAGAATTAAATAAGAGCACAAGTGAAGGCAATCTGTTTATCTTTTCTCTCACCTCAATGTTCTCACCCTGAAAGTTGGCCTATTCTGAACAGCTGGTGGCACTGTTTCCAAGGAAATCATAGGATGGGCCACTAACTGTGATTGGGGAAAAGAAACTGTGCCCAGGGTTGGATTTACAGTAAAACCAGATGAATTCACTGGGTCAGACATGCACTGCCCTGAAGCTAGAAGCTGAGAGGGTGTACCATCCCTGCTACTGATGAAGGGGCTGGTGCCAGCTTTGGAACTGACTTGGAAGAGACAGCCTCTTGATACTCAAGTTTACCTTTAAGCCAATCATCAACATTTACAAAAGAAATTTCCTATTAAAATACCTAATGCACTGTCCATATGAAGCAGGAAATGTTCAGTGCATACTTTGGGCTGCCCATTTCTCACAATTCCTCTCCTACCTATATGACCAACTTTTCAAGGATTAATTCCTTGTCCATCCATGGGTATACAAGAAGTTTATGGGGCTCCTGTGTGATATCAGATGACTGGTTCTGCTCAAAACTATTAAGTTTTAGCTAGGCACAGTAGTTCATGCCTGTAATCCTAGCTATTCCGAAGGCTCCGATCAGGAGGATCATGGTTTAAGGGTAGTCCAGGCAAAGTTAGCAAAACTTCATCTCAACAAATATCTGGTTGTGGTGGTGGCACACCTGTCATCCAGCTACCTGGGAATCATTAAATAAATAACATCATAGTCCAGGCCAGCTGGTCATAAATTTAAGACCCTATTTGAAAAATGCCTGCAGCAAAAAGTGCTGGGAGTATGGCTCAAGTGGTAGAGTGCTCAACAGGCAAATACAAGGCCCTGAGTTCAAATCTCAGTACCTCCATTAAAAAAAAAAAGCTATGAAGTTTTGATCCAGGAAGATACTGGGCTGGAGGTAGCCAACAAGGCCTGGGTGTGGACTGAAATAGAAAGAAGAGACGAGAGATAATGGTTCAGACCTGTTAATAACTGCTGGCTCTGCCACTGAGTTGGCAGGAACATTACAGTTGTAGGTCCCTCAGACGTCTGCCAGAAGCCTCTAATACCACTGAATAGGAAGCATTTGCTAAGCATCTGTGCTTGGTACTGTGAAGGGGTCAGCACTCACTCCTTTGCTGATGTGCAATTTTTCAGGTTTGGCCCTACCCAGTTTTTCCCCTCTTCAGCTGGGGATTTGGGACACTGTACATAAAAGAATTTTGCAAACTGTGAAGCCCTTTACAAGATCTAGTAATTATTCTGACCATAAGCATGTCTCTACTAACACTGCTACTTATGGAGCCATTCTAGGTAAGAGTCAAGGTCAGATATGATGCCAAAAAGAAACAGCCAGGAGCCATGTAACATAAAGGTCAGTTTTCAGATCTATAGACAAGACTCAGGAAGTGCATTCATGGCTGCTCTAGGTAAGAAATGTGCAGGGTCAAGGAGAAATGCCCACCTGGAACATGCTGAACTACTCATCTAAATAGTTCCCAACTCACTGATAAGGCCTGCACAATCCTTTGGAGGGCAGGCTATGCTGCTGCTGTGCAGAGTCCTTAAACCCAATCAAACAGATATCTGCAATATGGAAAAACTTGAGTGACTATACACATGACCATGAGACATCTCAAAATAAGCAGTGGAGTTTGTGGTGGGCAATAAAAAGGAAGGGGGCCTAACACTAGATCCTCCTGAACTGCAAGATTTGGGTACAGATCCCCAAGAATTCTAAATTCAGACATGGCCTTCCACATTGTTAGAAACATCACAATTTGTAAGCTTCATTTACAGCCTTCAAATATTTAGACATATGATACATAGTGTAAGGGTCCGAGAATCCTATTCCTTCAAGAAACAGAGAGTCACGCGTGAATGCAATCAACAAAGCAGAGTTTATTGAGCTGGCAAGCCAGAGTCAAGCTCCCACACAGACACACAGGTCCGATTGGGCAGACAAGACCCCGAGCCTCTTTAGGGAAGATCTTATATAGGCCCCTACCGGCCGTTACAGCAAAAGCCCGCGCAATACACAGCCAATGAGTTTGTAACACCACATACATTTCCAGCCTATCCATTTAAGAGTACATTACTTCTTAGCCTATAGATTCAAAGGTCAGCATTTGCGCGCGCAGTTACATTTAGCAAGCAGGCAGGGCACATCTTGCACGTACATCTGGTCGTCTTTCGCAACCCGCTCACATTCCTCACATTCCATATGCCCCCATCCTGTTTATCTTATCCTGCACGGGGCATCCTGTACTGGCTTTACTGATTTCTGCTATGGGGATCTGCTGGGGCAAAGGGCACATCTTTTCATTCCCCCCTTTTCTTTGGGCTATATTGAGGAATCATTCTCAAGGGGATGAAGAGCCTGGTATTGTTGGCGGAGGACCAGAAGTTGGACAGTGTTAATTCGGTTTTTGATGAAAGTCACAAGTCGGTTTAGAATACAAGGTCCTATGGTGACCAGTAACAGGAGGATTACTATTGGCCCTGCTAGCGCAGACAGGAGGGTAGCTAACCAAGGGGACTGGTTGAACCAAGATTCGAACCAGCCTTCCCTGGCCTCTTTCCCTTTTTCGTTGCTCTAGGCCTTCCCGAAGTTTGGACATAGAGTCACGAACAACCCCGGTGTGGTCGGCGTAAAAGCAACATTCCTCCCCTAGAGCCGCACAGAGGCCACCATTCTTAAGGAACAGTAGGTCCAGTCCTCTCCAGTTCTGAAGGACTACTTCGGATAGGGAAGTTAGGGATTTTTCAATACGGTCTAGGTCCTCATCGATGGCCGCCCTGAGGGAGGTGAGGCCGGAGTGCTGAGTGGCCAGAGAGGCTATGCCGGTACCTGCCCCTGCAAGGCCTATTCCAAATAGGGTAGCGATGGTTAGGGTGGTAATGGGCTCCCTTTTTGCCCGGGGGCAGTCGGACCAGTAAAGAATGGGATATTCAGCTGGATGGTAGAGGATTCTAGGCACCACTATCACCATCAGGCAGAATTCCCAGGAGGCATTAAAGACTGATCCAGCCAAGTGGGGGGTCAGCCCAGTCAGCGAGCATGCCCACCAGGTGCCTCTGGCCGGGGTTATCCAATGGGAGGCATTCCAGTTTGGGTGCTCAATTATACTAGCGCACAATTTTTTATTTCCTTTTGGGACCTGCCCTACACAAGTCCCTTGGCCACCGACCTGAGCCATGGTCAGGCCGGCGGGTCGGGCCTCCCAACCCGTTGGAGTGGTGGTATTGACTACAAAAGAGGAATTAATTCCAATAGTCTCGTAGAAAGGGGGCGAAGGGCTGTAGCAAAGCCAGCAAGCCTCAGTTAGATTAGGGGCTGTCCTATTCAAGGTCTCAAATGTAGCAAACAGCAAGGTCTCCAGGGGGGCTAGGCGGTACAGTGAAGGGAACAGTGGTCGTGGGTTCTGGGGGTGTCGCTTTGGGACTCTAGGAGTCATTGGGAGTGGTGTTCTGGGGTGTCCGGGGAGTTGTGCGCGGAACCAATTTTGCCTCGGACAACCCTGGCTTTAACACAGGATCAGGCCTTAACACGAGATTAGGTCCTATGGTTAGAGTAGAGACTGGTTGTCGCACACGCCGCAAGGTAAAAAGGGCCCCTGGATGATTTATTTTGTAGAGTCTGACTCCCCAGGATTTACCCAATTCCCAATTTGTCACCTTTTTTCCTAAATCAGTGAAATTTATCATAATGGGATTACAATTGGGGGGAGTTGGGCATCCCTTATTTATAGGTCTAGGTTGGTGGTATGTAATACCAGATTGAGAGACTCTACTTAACTGAATAAGGTCCCCCTGTTTGGGGGGTGGCCACCATATGTCCCCTGAGCTCTCACAACCCCATGACTTGCAATAATAATCTGCGATTCCTCCACATTTTTTTTTGTGGTTGGGTTGGGGAGCGGGACAGACATAGAAGTAACTTTGGCGCAAATCCCATTGTCCCCTGCCTGTGAATAAGGCCCTTAAGTCAAAGTATAATTCTGGGAACCAGGTGCTGGGAGGGGTCACCTTGGAGGTCTGGTTAAGAATGTCTCCTGTGGATACATCTACAATCATCCAGGTCAGGTTAAAAGGTTGATGAGGATTTGTATGCCCCAAGCAAGTGGTGGACAGGGTTAGAAAAAGGAATAAGGTTACCGAGGTCCAGTTTGCTGAAGTTTGAGTTTGAAGGAATTGTCCTTGTGGCGGGACACCCTTCATGTTGGCAGGAAGTCTTCCTTTACAGCTACCGGGTCCGCCGGTCTGATGTGGGTATAGTGGACCCAGGTGGTGATCCCATTCTAGGAGGGCTGTGGAGCATCTGGGGTGTTTTTGTTTTCCGGAGCATCCCGCATCAGCCGGAGCTTGAGTGGATTGGTGGGGTGCTGTCGTGCGGTCCAATTTCCCTGCTCCTCCTGAGGACGTGCCCGTCTCACATGGGAGTGGTGTACCCATGGTACAATTCCATCGACCTTGAGGGCAGTGGGGGTAGTAAGCAACACAACATAAGGTCCTTTCCATCTAGGCTCTAGGGCTTTGGACTGGTGCCTTTTAACCCATACCATGTCACCCGGGACTATGCCATGTTCCGGAGTTGGGACTCTCTCAGTAGTATGGTATGCTCGAATCAAGGGCCAGATTTGTTGTTGCACCATAGCTAGAGACTGTAGCACAGTCAGGTAATTTGGGGCCAGATCACCTAGTCCTGGGCTTAAGGTCCTTTGAATGATGGGGGGTGGGGCCCCATACAGGATCTCAAAGGGAGTTAGCCCATGGACATAAGGGGAGTTCCGGACTCGGAAGATGGCTAAGGGAAGGAGTGTCACCCAATCACCGCCAGTCTCCAGGGCCAATTTGGCTAAAGTCTCCTTTAGTGTCCGATTCATCCTTTCTACTTGCCCTGAGCTCTGGGGGTTATATTCACAATGTAGTTTCCAATTGGCCCCCATAGCCTGGGCTAGTCCCTGCAGGACTTTACTAACGAAAGCCGGACCGTTATCTGACCCAATTGCCTCAGGCACCCCATACCTGGGTATGATTTCCTCTAGTAAGGCTTTTGCCACTACCTGACTCGTCTCCCTCTTTGTAGGAAAAGCCTCCACCCAGCCCGAAAAGGTATCTATGAACACTAGCAAATATTTGTACCCAAACTTCCCTGGTTTTACTTCGGTAAAATCCACTTCCCAGCTTCTTCCCGGGGCCCTCCCCCGTTCCCGAATACCTGTGTGGTGCCCCTCCCTTCGTCCTGGTTTCATAGCTGTACAGCTAGCACAATCCTCCACAATTTGACGGACGGCCGCGGTCTGGTTCGGAAATCGGAGTTGTGCAGATGTCAGCAAGTCTAGCAACTTTCTCCGCCCCAAGTGGGTGGACTTATGTAAGTTAGCTAACAGGAATCGGCCGAGTTTCTCGGGCAGGATTAGCTTGCCTTCCAAGTCGCTTCTCCATTCATCCTCCTTTTTTTAGTGAGGGAGTGGGCTCTCATCCAAGTGAAATCCTCCGAGGAGTACTCTGGTCGGGGAGGTAGCGAAGGGAGCTCGGGGACAGGCACATCTATAGCCGCGACCACGGAGGGACTCACCATTGCTGCTCTCCTAGCTTCTTGATCCGCCCTGTTGTTACCGACAGCTTCCGGAGTCTTGGCAGACTGATGGCCTGGGACATACATCACTGCCACTGCCTTCGGTTTTTCCACTGCTATTAATAGACGCTGGACTTCGGCCAGGTTTTTTAAGCCTTTCCCTTCTGCTGTGCGAAATCCCCTTTCGCGATAGATGGCTCCGTGGACGTGGATGGTACCGAAAGCATAGCGGCTATCGTGTAGATATTGACTCGTTTTCCTTTGCCCTTTCCAGGGCCTCGGCCAAGGCAATTAATTCTGCCTTTTGGGCTGAGGTTCCGGGTGGGAGGGCGCTGCTCCATACCGTGTTTCCTTCTTGGTCGACCACTGCTGCCCCTGCCCTTCGGACTCCATTTTGGACAAAACTGCTTCCATCAGTGTACCAGTTTAATTTACAGCCGGACAGTGGGGTGTCCTTTAGGTCAACCCATACCTGGGTAACTTCGGAGAGGAACTCCTTGCAGTCATGGACAGGTGTCTGTAGTTCCGGGTTGGGCAACAGGGTGGCAGGGTTCAGAGTTACGGGATCTGTGAAGGTGATCCGAGGGGAATCCAGCAAGAGCCCCTGGTAGTGGGTGAGCCTGGCATTCGTCATCCATTTCCCAGGGGTTGTTTAAGGACTCCCTCCACCGGGTGAGGGGCCGTGACCCGGAGGGCCTGTCCAAAGGTTAATTTGTCTGCTTCTCTCACTAACATGGCAACGGCCGCTATGATGCGGAGGCAGGGGGGCCATCCTGATGCTACTGCGTCTAATTTCTTGGAAAGATATGCCACGGGTCTCTTCCAGGGACCTAACTGTTGGGCCAGGACTCCTTTGGCTACCCCCTTTTTTTCATCCACAAACAGAGTGAACGATTTTGTGGGGTCTGGTAGGGTCAAGGCAGGGGCCTGGAGAAGGGCGGCCTTTAGCTGGTCAAAGGCCCGCTGTTGTTCCTCTCCCCACCTCCAATCCGGAGCCTCTTTGGTGGCCTCATATAGGGGTCTGGCTATCTCCGCAAATCCCGGAATCCAGAGTCTACAGAACCCTGCAGAGCCCAGGAACTCTCTCACTCCCCTAGTGGATGTGGGGGGTGGAATAGTCAAAATAGTCTGTTTCATGGCATCAGTCAGCCATCTTGCCCCATCTGCGATCCGATAACCCAGATATGTCACTGACCTTTCACAGATGTGGGTCTTCTTGGCACTCGCCCGATATCCCAGCTCACCTAACTCCATTAGCAGGTGTTCAGTAGCCTCGCTGCACTCCTCTGGGGTTTCTGCCGCTAACAGTAAGTCATCAACGTACTGTAGTAGAGTGACTCGCGGGTGACTCCGGCGAAAGGGCTCCAGGTCCTGGCTCAGGGCCTCGTTAAACAGGGTGGGAGAATTTTTAAATCCTTGTGGCAGTCTGGTCCAAGTGAGCTGTCCGGTCCGGCCCCCATCCTCTTGCCATTCGAATGCAAATAGCGGCTGGCTGATTTCTGACAATGGAATGCTGAAGAAAGCATCTTTCAAATCAAGAGTTGTATACCATACTTGTGAGGGCGGTAGGTGACTGAGCAAGGTATAGGGATTCGGTACAGTGGGATGAATGTCCTCCGCCCACTCATTTACCTTTCGCAGGTCTTGCACAGGCCTATAGTCCCCGCTTCCTGGCTTTTGGACGGGGAGCAGAGGAGTATTCCAGGCGGACCGACAAGGCCGCAGTACCCCTTCCTTTACTAGCCTGCGGATATGAGGGGCTATGCCTCTTCGAGCCTCTTTGGGCATAGGATACTGTTTTACCCGAATGGGAAGGGCGGAAGACTTCAATTGTACAATTACGGGGGGGAGGTGTTTGGCAAGGCCAATTCCCGCAGTCTCTGCCCAGGCCGCGGAAACCTTTTTAGCCATTGGGCGATGTCCCTCCTGGCTCCTGTCGGCTCTCAAACAGTCGATATTCGTTGGCCAATGAGAGGGACAGGACGTGTATCGGGCTGCCCTCCCGATCAGTCACAATTATTTCATCAGGTTCAAAATAGATACGGGCCCCTACTTTGGTGAGTAGGTCTCGTCCGAGCAAGGGAGCGGGGCTCTCAGGAACGACCAGGAAGGAGTGTGTGACCTGGTGTCCTCCTAAGTCCACCTTCCTTTTGGTAGTCCATGAGCATAACTGGGTGCCCGTGGCCCCCTGAACGACGCTGGTTCATTCCTTGTTCAAAGGTCCATATGCCTTGTTTAAGACCGAATACTGGGCGCCGGTATCCACCATGAACCCCATCGGCTTCCCCTCCACACATACAGTTACCCAAGACTCGGGGAGGGGGTCCGAGCCCCGTCTCCCTCAGTCCTCTTCTCCAGCTAGAAGGACTCTAGCCTGCTCCACTGCTTGTTCCCTTTCCCTGTTACCTCCCGGCCTCCTGCCAAACCCTCTTCTTCCCTTTAACTTGGGGCACTCTCTCTTCCAATGCCCAGTCTCCTCGAAGTAAAAACAGTGTTCCTTATCCGGGGTCCTGGCGTGGCCCCCTCCCCTGGGTTGGTCCCGGACGCCTGCTAGGAAAATACGGGCCATCTCTCTGTTGCTTTCGGTTCTCCTTAGCCTGGAACTCCCTGTCCTCCTTTCTCAATTTCTCCTGGGCCTCCCCATCTTCCTTTCTCCGCCTTTCCTCCCTTTCTTCTGGAGTTCCCTTGCGGTAAAGACCTTCTCCGCTATCTGTAACATTTCCCTAATGGTCATCTCCCCTAAGTTTTCCTGTTTATTGAGTTTTCTCCTAATGTCTGGAGCTGCCTGATTAATGAATGAGAATACCACAGCAGACTGGTGGATCTCCGCCTCGGGGTCAATAGGGGTGTACTGACGGTATGCCTCGTAGAGGTGCTCTAAGAAACCGGCCGGGCTTTCGTTTTCCCCTTGGACAACTGCCTTTACCTTTGCAAAGTTGGCGGGCCTCCTAGCAGCCGCTCGGAGACCTGCCATAAGAGTCTGGCGGTAGATTCGGAGACGCTCCCTACCTTTGCTGTCCCGAAATCCCAATCAGGGCGGCGTAGGGGGAAGGCCTCGTCTATGGCCGGCTGGAGGGTTGTGGGTCTCCCGTTGTCCCCCAAGACGTTCTTTCTAGCTTCATGGAGGATGCGCTCCCGCTCCTCCGTCGTAAAAAGAGTATTGAGCAGCTGGTGACAGTCGTCCCATGTGGGGCAGTGTGTGTGCATGGGACTCCAAGAGATCTATGAGACACTTAGGGTCTTCTGAAAAGGGTGGGTTCTGCATCCTCCAGTTATATAGATCACTGGAGGAGAAGGGCCAGTATGGAAACTGTTGTCCCCCTCCCGGTCCTCCTTGGCCTACTGTTCGGACTGGAAATGTGGGGACAGTTTCCTCCCCATGTGTTGAGGAGGAAGGCCCATCTTCCCCCTCTCTTTCCCGTATCCCTCAGGGGCGGAGCCTCCGACCCATTCCTCCTCCGGCCGTCGGTCCTGTTGTGGAGGATGAGGAAATTTCCTCCTCCGGAGCATTGGCCTGACCAGAGGGTGTCGCGTATGGGGGTGGCCGATCTTCCTCTACCCCCGCGAGGGACAGGTAAAGGGAGGAACTCTCCGGTAAGACCGGAGGTGGAAAAGAGGGCATCCTATTTCAAGGACTGGTCAGGGTGGGAAGGGGAGGTTTATCTTCCTGTTTCACGACCAAGGCAGGCATGACTGGGGTTTTAGCCCCGGGAGCCAAACTGGAGGGGTGAGTCAGAAAAGCTGTTAACCAAGGAGGGGGGTTCCACGCTAAGTCTTCCCAAACCAAAATGTATGGGACCTGGTCTGGGTGGCCTTGATTGCCTGGTCGGAAAACGACAGCCTTGACCTTAGTGATTAGGTCTAGGAAGAGGGAACCTTGAATGGGCCATCTGCAGAACAGAGGGTGTCGAACTTACCTTTCTTAATGACTAGACCTGCATTTAATGCCCTTTTTCTGACTTCTGGAAAGTGAGACAGAATCAAAGACTTTGGGGTTGTTTGTCCCTGTCCCATTGTGGGATGAAAAGCAACCGCCAGGAGAGATAGAACAAAAAGGGTGAAAGCAACAACAACTCCACACACACACAGAACACTCTCCACCACTCGCTTGGACCAGTCCTTCTCTCACGCTGGTGCGCACCCCATTCAACCTCCTCACCGTCCGACGGGTGGTCGGTTGACTAGTTCAATTAGTTCTTCACCTGGTGCCAGGATTCCTGAAATGCTCGAGCCCAAATGAGAGAAAAGCCTCTCCCAGCAGGACCTTGTGGTCCCCCCGAGCCTCTTTAGGGAAGATCTTATATAGGCCCCTACCGGCCGTTACAGCAAAAGCCCGCGCAATACATAGCCAATGAGTTTGTAACACCACATACATTTCCAGCCTATCCATTTAAGAGTACATTACTTCTTAGCCTATAGATTCAAAGGTCAGCATTTGCGCGCGCAGTTACATTTAGCAAGCAGGCAGGGCACATCTTGCACGTACATCTGGTCGTCTTTCGCAACCCGCTCACATTCCTCACATTCCATATGCCCCCGTCCTGTTTATCTTATCCTGCACGAGGCATCCTGTACTGGCTTTACTGATTTCTGCTATGGGGATCTGCTGGGGCAAAGGGCACATCTTTTCAATAGGTCTCTTGCTCTGCAATGTAGGAGGCAGACATGACGAAGTCTGGGCACAGTAAGTGCAAGAAGTACAGTCAGTGCTTAATAAATGTTATGAAGAAAATGGTAAAGAATACTGGAGAAAGAGCTGCGTCCCAGGCACCTTTCCTAGCCTGACCCAAATCCCCACCCCACAGACCAACCATCCCCAACTTGATATCCTCCTCCACTCTTTCTATGTTTTTTCAAGGCTTCCCCTAGCTTAAAGCGGAGGTTCTAAAAAAATATTGACATCCTATTCAGCAGACTTTGCTTGACTTGATAAACTATCACCTATGCGCCCCCCGCCCCCACTTTGTGAATTAGTTGTGTAATTGAAACCAAAGTGTCTGCAGCTCCAGAGGTCCCATGCTTAGCAATGAGCTAAGTGGTGAGTTGTGATTGTTCTTTGAGAGGGGGGAGGGTTGGCAGCAAATGTGTTCTTGGAGATTTCTACAGTATCAGATTAGCAGGGACGTTGGTGAGAGTTTATATATCCTAAGGAATACATAGAAAAGGGACTTAGCCAGAATGCTACAGCTAGTGAGTAATAGAGCCAACATTACATCAGGAGTCCCAGACTTTAAGTCCCGGGTTCTTATATTCCATTATTCCTTTGGGCTGGAGATAAGACCCCAGGATATGAGGAGCTGGAAGGGGGAATAGCATCTCAAAAAACTTGCTGTGATGGAGAACACTGGGGGTTGGTTGGGCTGCTTCCCAGGTAAATGTTTTCACCTTTACCTACTGGAAAAACAACTGCTGCATAAAAGCTAGTGCCTTAAGCTAATTAAAACCCACCAGGGAAAAAGACTTTGAAAAGCAATTTACAACTCAAAGAAATGAGCTGGCTGGCTTCTCCAGACCAGTAGGAACAGAAGAAATTTAGCAACACAAATCCTGTTTCCCAGTTAAAATATTTAACCAAGTTTTACAAAACAGAAGCCACTAGTAAAGTGACAAGACATTGCAAAGTTAGAAAAGTCCTGAAAGAAACCTTCACCTCCCTAAATTTTTGGGTAAAGGAGCCCTCCCAACACCCCTCACCAATCCATCACTATATTAAAAAAAAAAAAAAAAAAGCGCTTCAGAGTGCATTACACATCTCACCTCATTTAACTGTCACAATGGCCTGTATGGATGTGTTTTACACAAGGAAACAGAGAGGCAAATTAATTGGTTAATAGGGCAAAATTGGTTAACAGCCAAAACTGGAACTCAGATCTGTATGACTGTACAAACAGGAATCTGCAGAGGCAAAATTGCATATGCACAGAGATGCCTTGGGTACTAATATCCAGGGCAAGAGTACTTACCCTCAGAGAACGCCACACATTCGCTCCTTGGTCCTTGCCCTCCCACTTTCTATTACAATTCTTCATATTTGCATAGGATTTTAGTGAACAAAGCCACAGTTCAAGTCTGCTAAGGTCTGATCTCTCAAATCTGATGATGAAACCTAATCTGTAATGTGATGGTATTTAGGGGATGGGGCCTGGCAAGATTGAGATTAATATGTGCTTTGTCATCCCCAGATACTGATCACTAATTGCTTAGCTTTCTCCAAAATGGTCCCCAGGGTAATACAAGGGCAGCCAGTAGTGGGGTCTTTGGGAGGTGATTAGGTCATGAGGGTCAAGTCCTCATGGATGGACCTGGTGCCTTTATATATAATACTAGTAGTAGCAGCAGTAGTAGTAGTAGTAGTAGTAGTAATGATGATAATAATGACCCCAGAGAGCTGCCATGCCCTTTGTACCATATGAGGGCAAGGCAAAAAGACAGCTGCCACCAAACTAGTAGGCAGGCCCTCACCAGATACTGAATTTGCTGATGCTTGATTTTGGACTTCTCAGCACCGGAACTTTAAGAAATAATTTTCAGTTGTTTATAAGCCACCCATTTTGTTATAGCAGCATATAAGGACTAAGACAATATCCTTTATCCTAACATTGATAGTCCCATTTTATTGATTTTTTTCAAATCAATAAAAAAAAAAAAAAAGCTAAGGATCAGCAAAGTTAAGTAACTTATTTAAGGTCAATCAGCTAGTGAAGGGAGTAGCTAGGGGACTTGTTCGACATGCCACTGTCTCAACAGCTGTCTTAAGCCTCTGGCTCTGTCATGTCATCCTTCAGGCTTCTAATCCTGCCTCTCAGATTAAATCTAGACCCATTCCTCATGAAACAATCATCTCAAAGGAGTAGCTATTGCCTCAGTGCTGTTCAGAGCCTCTGTTTTGGCCGATCTTGCTGGATACCTCTGGCCTTATTCTCCTGCATGGAGATGAAGGTCACAGCAACCTGTGCCAGTCCTCTGCCCTTATATAATCCTGGGGACATATGGGTAGCTTGGAGGGGAAAAGAGCTTATCAGTTATGGAGAAAGTGTTTCTGGAGAAAGCCAAGCAATTAGATAGATCACTGTCCAGGGTCTCCTTGGTCTAGAGGATCCTGATGACTAGGCAGCCAGGGATGGCAGAATATCTATTAATCTCATTAAACTCACCAACCCCCAACTCATCAGCATTGCCCAAATGATAATTACAGGCCAGACAGGACTAATTTCCCAAGAAGTGCTTTTTAGCTCCTGACAATTCCCATTCCCATGAGAAACCCCAGCCCCCAGCTTGCCAAACAAGGAAGGCTCCTAGATGTGTGGAAGTATAAGAGGTGCAGGACAGAAGACTCAGCCTTGGTTTCGCTGTTCTTAATCATGTGACCTGAAACAAGTAATATAACTTCTCTAGGTCTTATCACCCTTATTCTGAAAACAGAAATCATTTCCCTTTCAGATCTGATGTAATCAAATAGGTTAATCAATGTGAAAGTGCTCTGTTGCAGCTGTAACAACTATAAAAGAATACAAGATTATATCTATTCCTATTATTACCCAATTCCTATCCTCTGTACTTATCCTATAAGCATTTCTTGAGTGTTTCCTCTGTGCTGGCCCTGAGGAGATGCTAGGAAAGAGTTCTTATGGGCCTTGTACTTCTCTTGCGTGTTACAAATCCCTCTCTCTAGGAATCTATTTTTTGACTATTTCCTAGTAACAAAGGCAAATGCACATGAAATAGCAAAACCAGCATAGGCTATGGAGTGAGACAGAACTGAGTTCCAAATACAGTCCTATGAGCTACTACCTTAGCTATGCCCCTTAACCTTGCTTGGCCTCAGATTCTTTAACTACAAAACAAGAATTATACCAACCTCCTAGGTTTAGAAATGATATGTATAAAGTGCCCAGTCTAATGACTGGTACCTCTACATATTAAGAAACTAGATGCTATGGTTTGAATATAAAATGGCCAAGAAGGCTCATGTGTTGAAGGCTGAGTCTCCAACTAGTGATGTTACTGAGTGGATCATAAGGATGCTAACCTCATCAATGGATGAATTAATCACTTGAATGGGCCATTAGGAGGCAGGATCTTCTTGGAGAAAAAAGATCACTGAGGGCGTGTCTATGAAGGGCATTTGTCTCTTCTCTCTTCTCTCTCTCTCTGTCTTTCCTCCAGCCACCATGAAATGATTGCTCCACCATACCCTCCTTACCACAGGCCCAGAAACAACAAAGTGATCATGGG